CATGTCCAGGTCTGACTGTTGCTTCCTGACCTGCATACAGATTCTCAAGAGGCAGGTCAGGTGGTCTGGTATTCCCGTCTCTTTCAGAATTTTCCACAGTTTGTTGTCATCCACACAGTGAAAGGCTTTGGCATAGTCCATAAAGAAGAAATAGATGTTTAGATTGTACTTAAAAATTAGAGCTGTTTTTAAGCAATGTTCAAGTCCTAGGAAAGCTGTTAGCTCTCAATTTTTACAACAAATCTACTGAATTGTATGAAGACCTTCTAGAGAGTCCTGATAAGGACAACTGAGATATAGGCTTGATCAAGCTTCTATGTGAATTAATAATATATGTATAATGATTAGTAAGTTATAGAAAGGGAACACGAAACATACAAGTATAAAGTACCTTTGTTTTTGTTCTCAGTATTTTAAGAAGCAAGCTAATTTTCCTAAGCCTAGTTAAATTCTTTCATCCTCTCTACTGAAACTTTTTTCCAAAGTAAATTAGAATTGTATCTACAATGTACACAAAATTTCAAGCACCTAACAAGATATCTTGTATGCATATGACATAAAAGAATAGCTTAATATATGTTTAAATCATTGGCTCTTGACCATTATGTTCTTTATTCCAAAGCAAAACTTATGGCATTCTCTTTTGTTTCTCTTAAAAAATTTGGCTGTATTTCAAGGCCAAGTAAAAGAAGCATGATAACTGCAAATGATTTTGTACAATCTCTCCTCACCAACTGTATTATGATATTAACTAACACCACTGTGTTGGGAGCTTCCTGAAAGTGAAACTATATATTTCCCTGTCATCTATCTCACCAAATTTAAAGTATAAAATTGGTCACTTATTTAAAACTACCTGTTAGTCGTCTGGGGAAAAAAAGAAATAACAGAACTAGAGTTTACTGCACATATACAATATGCTTGATCTATTATTTTGTTCTATATTCCAATTTATGAACAAAATGATATTAAATTGGTTTTATAGATAAAGACTGAGTCAGGTTAATCCATCTTCTCTGACTTATTCAGTCAGAACCAGGTATAGTCTTTTGACCTAAAACTCATACCCTTTCCATTGCAAACAGGTTTTGTTTTACAAATCTAAAGTGATTTTTAAAATGAATTTTTGATACATAATTCATTCAAAATCAGAAAAGTGTTGTCTAATAACCAAAGCAAATATTTAGCAGTTACATGCCCTCAATGTGAATACAATTTTGCTTTCATTAGCTTGCTCACTGTGTCCTTGACATCCTTATTTCTCAGACTGTAGATCAGGGCATTCAACATGGGGATGACCACCGTGTAAAACACAGAGGCCACTTTGACTGTGTGCCTGGAGGTTTTGGAGTTGGGCGCACAGGAGAGGAAGAGGATGGTGCTGTGGAAGGTGCTGATGGCAGTCAGGTGGGAGGCGCAGGTGGAGAAGGCTTTGTGATGCCCTCCAGCTGACTGCATCTTCAAGGTGGTGACAACAACGAACACGTAAGACATGAGAATGATGAGCAATGTGATCACCTCATTAAAGGTGGAGCAGTGGAAAGAAGCAATGGACTGAGGTAAGAATCCAAATAAGAGAGAGAAATCAAGGAAGAAAGCTCACAGAAGAAGTTATTGATTGTGTTGAAACCATGGGAAGATAATTTGACAGCAGAACAGGTGAGAGTCAAGGAGCAAGCTACTCCCCGTGCATGTGACACGACCACTAGCACAGCACAGAGTCTCTGGGATATGACGACTGTGTCGAGCAGAGGGTTGCAAATAGCCACGAAGCGGTCACAGGCCATCACAGCAAACAGAATTAATTCAGTCACCGCAAAGGTGCAAAAGAGAAAGAATTGCACCATACATCCCAAAAATGAAATGGTTCTGTCTTCTGCAAGTAGGTTCACCTGCATCTTGGGAGCAATGATGGAAGAATAGCAGAAATCCACAAATGAGAGGTGTCTGAGAAATAATACATGGGGTGTGCATTTGGGGTTAACTTTGATGATGACCATCATCCCAAGGTTCCCTGCTATGCGGAAGCTGTAGATGGCCAGAAACACCAGGAAGAGGGGGCTTGCAGTTCTGGGTAGTCTGAAAAACCCAGGAGGG